CCAGAAACAGAGGCCCTGGGATTGCGGGATTGGGTATTTGAGTCATACTCTGAGAAATGACTGCAAGAAAAGTTAGAACTGACACAAACTGCTTCAGTGTAGAAATTCATCAGCTCTATTCAACAGATGAGCGTGTCTTGACTCACTCGCCCATTATGGGTTAAAGCCCTTTCCACCGCTACCTCATAAGATTTCACACTGGCCAGGCTCCCTGCGGGTTGTCTGCTATGCCCACTTCTTGAGAAACATATGCGTCATTTGTGAGATGATTAATGAGAAGTGTACGATCAGAGCATGCCACCGGTTGTGAGCCTTTGAGTGTTATAGAAAAGTCATGTTCCTGCTTGTCGTGATGCTTCGTTTCACCTTTGCTCACACCGACTTCCTGGTACACCTGCATTGCGTTACTTCTGAATGCTTAACAGCCAAGTTCCATCTATAGACACCTTTGTTGATTAAAGAAACAGCTGCCATCTGGTCGGGCTGGGTGGCAGGTTTAAGTGTCACCTTTGCCTTGTAGGCTTGGCTGGTCTGTAGCACAAACAACCTTGGAGCCCCGGACTTGTCACAGTCCACTGGCCAAGCGGAGTGCTGTGAGCCGCATGGTGGGAAGCAGAAGAGTCTGACCGTTCGAGTCTCGCGCTGTAGGGGTGGGACACGCCATTAACAACAGAAGCGGTGGCAGCAGTACGGTCCAGAGTAGGAGGGTAGAGTCGCCCTGACCTTCACAGGGCTAATCAACCAAACCCTGTGCCGCCCGAGGACTGCCCACACCGTGTTGATAAGGAGGCCTGTTTAAAATACGATGCAGTGTGGGGCTTTCTGCCTCACTTGACTGCAAGATGAAAAAGCATAAGATGGCCTTGTCATCAGGCATTCTTTTAAGTAGGTCACTATAAGGTTCACTTGATTTCGGCTGAGCGAATCGGGTGCACAGCTTGGAAGCGCTCATACATATTCATCAGTACTGTTTTTGTTGTGCTGCCTGCATATTTCATCTTTAAAGCCATATTATTACAATAGCAAATCAAGCAATTTGTGTGGATGCTTTTCCTAAATATGAAAATTAATAATTTCATTGCTGATAACTGAAAGAGTTGCCTGATTTGGGAATACAACCGGGTTATTAACTGGAACTCAATCCTTGTTTCCCCACAGCGGCGTAAATGGTTACCTTTGATCATTGTCAAACTAAATGCATGAATTATGGATATGATTTTCTTGTGCAAACGAGTCTTAATTGTCATTGTGCTTGTGCAGTATGTTTACATTTAGACAATTTCTGGGTAGAATTTGTTTCAGAAAGAGTTGAGTAGTTAGCAAAGCCAAGGTCATGGGTTCAATTCACAGGGAATGCATGAGTTTATAAAGGGCATACTTTAAATTCCAGTCAGTTTGGAACATGCATAAATGTTACTTTTTAAATATATTTTTGCAGTGATTGTGTAAACCAGGGGTGCCAAACTCAGGTCCTGAAGGTCCTGAGTTTATTTCCAACATTGCTCCAATGCACTTACTGTACCTGTATTTTAGAAATAATCCTGAAGGACTCGATTAGCTGGATCAGATGCTTTTAATTAGGGTTAAAGCTAAACTCAGCAGGACTGTGGCCCTCCAGGAACTGAGTTTGGTGTAGACGTTGTAAAGGGCTTCATGAAATAAACACAAAGGGACTTGACTCTCAAGATAGAGAATAAATAAATAGAATAAATATCACTAAACAAATGTGACAGTTATGGGAACAGATTCCACCAAGTACAAATACATACCTTGCAGCTCTAGATAATAGGATTTGAAAGCAAACCAGATGTCAGATTTGTTGAACAGGAACATTTATAATGACCACACTTGAAACAGAGTGTGTTTGTGTGAGGATGGGTTTGGCCATGTCTGTTTTTGGATATATCTTTGGCTTGCAAAAGTAGAATGGTTTTTGCCTCCATTAACAGCTGTAGTGGTGTTAGAAGCAGTTCATTACGTTCATAAACTTGTTTCCCATGCAAATGTGTTCAGAAGAGGATCCATGGACGTGCCATCTTAATCTGATATACACAGTGCCATAGCAACATGGCGCTTTAGGAGCCAACTGAACAGCTTTCGCCTGACTTGATTATAATAACAACAGCCGTAACAGATAAACATGATTTTTGTGTGCACAATTAAAAAGGATAGTTCACCCAAAAAAAAAAAAAAAAAAAAGTGACCTAGTACTTGTTATTTTTCAAACCTGTATGAGTTTCTTTCTTATGTTGAACATAATAGAAGAATGTTTGAGCTGCTTTTTTACAATGAAAGTGGACTGTGGTGTTTAATACCAAAAGTCCTATAAAATTAATGATGTGTTTTGGTCAAAGTCATTAGGATCCCTAGCTGTGTGGACCAACACATCACAGAATACACAAACACCAAGAAGAACCAGTCTCACCTTCTTGAAAATGATTTCCCACAGGGGTGTGAAATGGGTCAGTAAATAAATATTAAAACAAAACATCATGTAGAGTAAAAGTGAAACCTGCACCCTGTTGACTGGTTGCAGGCTAGGCCATAACTGTGGATTTACAGAATACATATATTTACAGAATTTACATAAATATATACATACACTTTTCTGAGTTTCACTTTCTTTAATTTTCCGCTATATTTTTTTTTTGGTCCATATTTGTTAACCTTGAGGTCATCAATATGCCAGTACACTCAAAGTTAAAATTCACTTACTATTCACTACTGCATAAATGGAAAAAAGAGGATGTTATTGTCTTAGAAGTAGGCTGTCTTTTGACGTTAAAATTACATTAAATGTGTATTCACTCTTTAATTTTCAGTCTACTGGAACATTTAATGTGACCCACATTTCATGCACCGTTTTTGCAAAAGGAACATTGAGTGCCTTTTTATCTTTTTTTAAATGCTTGCTTTCATCATTGTGGGAAACTAAAGCAAGGTCAAGCAATCAACATTTCTCTGTGTTTTTTCATGAGTCGTATCAGGCTAGACAGGTAAAGCCACTGTACTGGATGGGAGAGGAATTCTGAACTTGCAAAACAGGAGATACTCCTGCACCTGGCAGTAAAACGATGTGTGCCAGGCCTGATAGAGGATCCACAAACCACATATCAGTTCTGAGGATATCTTTAAGGTCACATTACAGCATTCTCATTGTGCAGAGGAGTATTACGTGTTCAAACTAAGATGAAGGCACATAATGGCTTTGAAGGAGGAAAATTAGTTTTCAGGCAGGTTCTGAGGAGGTTAAAGTAGTATATTTGATGCTTAGGAGTTTCTTTCTTAAAGGGGTCATATGACGTTGCTAAAAAATAATATTATTTTGTGTATTTTGTGTAATGAAATGTGTTTATGCGGTTTAAGGTTCAAAACATTATTTTCCACATACTGTATATATTGTTTCTTCTCTATGCCCCGCCTTTTTGAAATGCGTACATTTTTACAATGCTCATCGTTCTGAAAAGTGAGGTGTGCTCTGATTGGCCAGCTATCTAGTGCGTTGTGATTGGCCGAATTCCTCAAGCATTTGACGGAAATGTTACGTCCCTTACCATACTGTGATGCCGTGTCCCGGCGCGATGAGACAAAACCAATAAAACCCATTATAAACGTGGCATTTGTTGCATCCATTGGGGACATAATTACTGATTATAATTACTTATACTGTATTTTTATGCGTTGCGTTGCATCGCGCCACGTAAACATAAAACCATGTCTGCATTTGTGATCTGAGAAACGACAAAAACAAGCGCTACTCTACACTGCTCAAAACTTGCATTTGAATCGTCAGTGGCAAATCCTTTAAATATGAACACGTACTTACGGACTGTGAGTCAGCATTATTTGTCAGAACACCGGCAATGTAGGCTACTCTCCCAGGAAACAGTCCTCGTCCTCCGTAAAATGCTCCGTAAAATGCGTTGCACTGAGTTTGGTGTAGACGTTGTAAAGGGCTTCATGAAATAAACACAAAGGGACTTGACTCTCAAGATAGAGAATAAATAAATAGAATAAATATCACTAAACAAATGTGACAGTTATGGGAACAGATTCACTAATCTCATACCCAAGAGTTGAGTCCTTCCAAAACTTAAACAAACATTCTTACATTCCCTACAAACATTCTTACACTCCACCAGTGTTGGGAGTAACGCATTACAAAAGTAATAATATTACAGTAGTATATTACTTTAACGAAACACACAGCGTCTCCACGACATGGCGGCAGCCACAATACTACAGCAATAATCAAAGTTACGCCTTCTTTCTTTGCGTAAACATTTGGGCGGTGTTATGCAAATCTTCCCACACAGTGACGTAGACATGTGGGGGCGTGTTTAAACGAGGCGTTTTAGGAGGGCGTGGACGAGGCTTAACTATTATAAAGAATATCTCTTTGGATTTGAGACTTTAGTCTTTGCAACTTTACAGATCTTCTTCATGCAAACAGCTTGTAACACTCCAAAAAGAAAGGAAAACTTGAAATAGCATCATATGACCCCTTTAAATATATTGCGAAGTCAAGCATCACTACTGCTCATAATTAAGGTTAGGAAATTGAACATAACTATAACAGCACGTATTGAAATTCAGCATGTTTGTGCTACATTACCTGAAACGTGCCTTGTTGAGAGATACACTATTGCTTGGATTGAGTGATTAGACATTATCCATATATACATATTACTTTTTTGGCAAGTGAAAAGGGTTAAAAAAATCCCCAAAAGCCATATGTAGAGACAATTTCTTCAGTACATATAAATGTTTATTTCTAACATTTATTTAAAAAAATGCCCTTGCAGTTTTAATCTCCAAATGAAAATTCAACTCTTGACTGAAAAGCAGTGTAAGACCTTATGAAATAACTTAAGTGCCAAGCAAACTGTAATGCCTGCAACTTATTGGGAAGAGAGCCTGAAAAGTCGCCTCTAATGACCAGTAATCCTTTGGCATAACCTTTGAAAGCAGAAAACAGTCATTAAAAATGTAAAGCTTTTAATCAGCTCTGTCTGAGAGCCCGTCAATCCTTTCAAAGCATGACAGTGGTGGAGAGATCAAGGGAGGGGAAGGGAGAGGCCATGCATAGGGTTGGTGCTTTGAGAGAATGGTTAAAAAGGAGAATGGGGGGCTATTTCCTTACCTTTGTGAGAGGAAGAAAAAAAAAGAAACTTCAGCACTGGAACAAAACTGCACATTTACAAAAAAAGAAAAAAAAAAGAAGAAGAAGCAGAAATGGTGCATTTTCCATTTTCTCCACACTGAATAGCAAATGTGCATTGATTGCATTGGCAGAAGCTGGATGTTGCTGCATTCTCCAGGTGGGTGCCGCGTGTTGGCAACGTTTGAAATGAGTCACTATTATATGCAAAATTTGTGGTGTTTAAAAAGAGCTATAGAAATGCAATGTCTTGTTGCTCCAGTGGAAGCATCTGGGGCATGTGAGTCATTTCCACCGGAATACGGTTTGTTCTATGAGAGGAAATGATTATAAATTTAATCCTTTGCTGCTAGCAAGTTTGTGTTCTTTCCTTAAGCTGCAGATTTGCCAAGACTATGCCCGATTTTGAGTTCTTTCGAGCGGTGCTCCTCCACTTGCAAGGTTCAGTGAGTGACAGTAATTTCAATCCAAGCTAATTGAGTTGTTGAATCTCCCTTTGAGTCCCTTTTCTCACTCGCTTCAGGGTCTCTGATCAATAGTAATACACTATTGTGATATGTCAGCCAGTCTTATTTATATATTTACTCATTCTTTCTTTATCAAAGGGTATCAGGCGAAAAGCAGACTCTTTTCACAGGGGATTGTCTCACCTTGTAAGAATGGCTTGGTAGACCTATGGGGATGTTTGAATTCATCGTTTGGACTGACATGGTTTAGAGTTTAAATACATCTTTGAAACAGCAGGTAATTATATTATAGCTTTTATGGCTGTTAATGAAGAGAACCGTTAAAAGCATTGTCAATGCATTTACATTGAAAGTGTCCTGAACTTCACAACTACCCATAGCCTTAGTTAAATCTTTGAACTAATTTCACACCCTTTATCAACAGAGAACCATTTCATCTTTTTTTTCCCCACTGACACCCCTGCATCCTAAAGCCGGATTTCAAATGAAGCGTGCTGTTTGATTTATCTTAGTGTCGTTCTGCTGCAATCTAGTTGATTTGTGGAAAAGAAAAGAATCTACTCCTCAAAAACCTTTGATTTTCAGACCCAGCCGAGACCCTCTTTTGTGAGCCCACCCACCCTGTTGCTTTCAGACAACCAGGGCAATTACTTCAGGCCTGCTTTTACAGTGAAGTATGAGGAACTAGCCATGCTATTTTCCTTTCCTCAACCGCACTGACTTTCAAAATGCTATACGCTAACACACATATGCCAACGTTCTTTGTAGAAGGATTCTCTGGCGGGTACTTGTACCTCATGGCCTTCATGTCAATATACAGTGTTGGACTTCTGAGGTCTTGTGGGGAACACTGTAACTCATTCCACCCCTCGACTTTTTCAGACGTTCTCCCTCTCCTCAACCTGTGGTTTTGTGGTTCTTGTCTTCATCTCGTAGCCAGATACTTTTCATTTAATTGAAAGCCAAAAGCGCCTCGATGTTTAACTCTTCAACTGTGCAATCAGCGCCCTGGTTCCGCACTTCACTTCTGAGAAATCACTCGTTCTGCATTTTTAGAAATTTGATGTTCTTGTTTCTGCTTAGATGCTATCAGCAGGCTACAATAGCTCTGCGCTGCTGTGCAGTCGTTCGCTTGATGACCGCAGAGCGATTTGGTGAGTCTTTAAATGAAGAAAAATGTCGTCCCAATATCCACCCATTGCACCGCAGACTGTTGGGTTTTGTTGGCGAGGGAGGTTATTGATGGAAGGACATGCATTATGATAGATGATGTGTCATTTGGATTGGGTTTCCTCTGCTCTTTGATGTGCGACCTGGAATAACAACCTCCAGACTCACTGAGATAATCTGACAGCTTTCTGGAAAGCTTCCGTGACTGGAATAAAAGTCACATTGAAGGTTTATAGTACTGTTGTAGGGAAAGTGAAAACTGGATCTTGGACCTAGACGTGGTGTGCTCTGGACCCACTATGCATTAAGTTTTTTACGTGTGTGTGTGTGTGTGCGTGTGTGGGTATGGGAAAATCTCTAAAATGTGGTGTGTGGTGAAGAGTTGGAGGAGGGGGACTTGACGTCCCTCTACCCAGCTGGGTAGCACATGCACTGGAGACTAAAGAAGCACAAGAGATGTGGTGAGCATTCCATGGGTTGTGTGTGGAGAATGGAACGCTCCCAAAGAGCCATTGGAAAGATCCATTGCGGTCTTCGTCACGGAAATAGTACAGCCCCATACTCTTGGAGTTCTCCTCCGAAACGCTGAACAATTTATACATCACCCTCTTTAATTTTCTTTTAGTTTAGTGCTCTGATAGTGCTTTGATTCAGGTGCGGGTTCCAGGCCAGTGCCAATTCTCGAACCGTTCTATGAATTTCTATCTCATGAAAGTGGGTTCCAGGTTTCGGGGGTTCCCGCGAAGGTTGTTTTTAGACTCGTTATAGTCAGATAAGCAACATGTAGCAGTGACATTAGTTCGTTTCTCAAGTTGGTAGAAATATGCGAACGGTTTATGACAGGTTAGTACACCTGAACAAGAATAGGCCTGTCGCAATAATCAATATATCGACTTATTGCGCAATGTATGTACATGACCTCAATAATTTTTGGTGACGCAATATATTGCCCATTATATTTACTTAAAAATGAATGTCACCATGTTTTGTACATTCCACTTGCGCCTGTGTCTTTTGCAGCTTCTCGTACATAACGTGTAGTCATGAGGTGCTAGTTCAAACTTAAAAAATGCTTCTACGAACAAAAAGTTGCTATCGTGACAGGCCTAGACAAGAACTGTCCGAGAACAAGCTCTGGCTCCAGAACATGAACTATTCTGATGGAAAATACATATGAGTAATTTTATGTTGCACTGGTCGATATGGAAACCGTTTATGACTTATATTGACACCTAGTGGTGTGGAGGCAGCATCCTGTAAAAGCAACAATTTTCGGTTACCCTTGCCATGGTAGAAAATGTTCGGTTTGCGTTCAGCCATTGTTAGTTCATTTCACAAGCAAAAGTGTCTGACAATAGGAGGGTTAGAAAGATAAATTATCATCTGATCTTGTGATCTCAGCATGGCTACCCCATGCAATGACCCGTTCCTGGTTATATATTATATATATTTGCTATATTTGATATATTATTTAAATATATTTTCTAGTGTTAACTACACTGTCTTGACTGAGAAAAAAGTGCTAAACCCTTATGTAATGAATCAAGTGCCCTAAACCTAATTTAAAATCAAGAATATTGGAAATGCAATATAAAACGGTGATGATTTAGCCATTTTTATTTTAAGAAGTAGTATTTTCCTCTTAGTTGTAGCTGTGGCTTCCATATCCCCAATGTACTTCCAGTTATAATTATCTATGATCTCATCTAGCACCAGATAACAGATGATGGCACTGGCCGGTTCGCATACTAAATGCATGTGTTAATTGTGAGTGGTCCAGGCTCTCTCACTACCCCCTCCAGTGGGAGTGTGAATTCCCAACCGGACATGTTAATAGATCAATCTGCTCTGTCGAATGAGGGGGAGAGACTAAAGCTGCCCACCGGCCCAGCTGTCCTGTTTCCACAATACTGGCCTGTTTAAACCCTGATAATAAACCATGCTGTTTGATGCCAGATGGACATTTCATATTTTTCTACAAAGCGTTAAAAATGGATGAATCTCTCAACATGACTTCCCTCTAAGAAATCTTCATAAAACTCTTTCATCAGAGAGATGCAGGAGGGGGCTTGAGGATTTCAGCAGCAACTCACATCAAATATTGATTATCTGTTCTCTTTTTGTTTTTTGTAGATTAGCCCTCCCATCAGGGGGTTGTGCTACTGTTAGTCACAGGAACCTTGGGAGTTTGGAAAGCTAATCACAGGTTAAGTTGTCAGGAAGCTTTAGCGAAGAGTGCCCAATGTCAATACCATTGTCAAGTACACAATATACACATTTAAAGGTAAAATGTGAGTAGTCCACAAAGGTATGACTTATTTATTTATTTATTTATTTATTATTATTGTTTTATTTATTTATTTATTTATTTATTTATTTCACTAAACTCTACATATTCATTGACTAGTATTCTCAAATTGCCCAAATATGGGTCTTTTAATAGGACTGGCTATTATTTTGGTCTATTTAATTTTTTGGTCTATTTTTTATGGCTATTATTTCTGTCTATTAAGAAGTTAATATACCACGGTATTTACAAGATACTTCAATTAATATATGGTACTTTAAGGGTATATGTCTAAAAAGCATAGCATTGTCATGGCACTAAAATAAATGAATAAATTGGGTTTTTATTTTTTTTTTACAGAAAAAAAAAACGTAAATAAGTTAGCTTACCATATACAGTATAAAATAAGGTTAAACTGACTAATTTGATGAATTACCATATAATTTTCTGTGAAAACAATAAAAGCACATTTCCAACACTCCCTGTGTGACACATTATGTGATTACATTTATTTAAATAGTTTTGTTTCTTCTCATTTTTTGATATCAGAAATGTTCACAACACAAAATGTTTTGTTACTTTTTATGTTACTTAGTTGATATTTATTGTTTTTTTTGTTTGTTTTGTGATTGGTAGATTGGTATATTAACATTATATCACTTAATGAAAAATACAGTTATAAGTTATATAACCACTGTTATTACCATAACAGTATATGATTATTACCACAAATTAATAAATGCCGATAAATAAATAAATTTTGAAGAATTATTTTCAGGTGATTTTTGCAAACATTCACAACCTTAAATCTTGCATCATGCTTGTTCATGCATAGCATTTAAATCGCTCGTCCATGTAATCCATTTAATCATTATACTTACCTCCTCGATTTTCCTTGTGAACACTTTGGATTTGAACTTTTCCAGACTGAAATTTTGCCCATTGATGATGATGGACAGGGAGAGGATTTGTCATGCATGGCCGTCTTTAGCATATCCCCCAGCGCTGCTTTCGGCTGAACTTGAAATACTTTTTCTGCAAGATGTGCTGAGTATACAGTGTAGCCCAAGGTGCACTGAGGCCATCGGTTCAGCAGCAGACACAAAACACATCCAAGCTGTCACTCAAAATGCACACTGGATACAGACATGAAGTTGCACCAGACAATGATTTCATTGAGTCTGTGGGTTTGTGTTGTATTGCACACTATTGCATGACACTTTACTCTGGGAAATG